TCTCACTTGTAGAAAGCATAGATCTTGTAATCTTCTCTTCTACAACGTCAGTAAGCATCATCTCCCTGAACACCATCTGCATTGCGAACTTGTATGCCTGCCAGTCCTTTCCGTTCCAGTCCTTAGGTATTCCTTCGGACGTGAACTTTATCTTGTCCACCATCTTGGATAGCTTCTTGTGCAGCAGGAAGTCCGCAGTTCTCTTGGGCTCAGAACCCTCTTGGAAGTTGCCCTCGATCTGTCTGGCCGGACAGGAAGGAAAAGTAGAAGTGAATAAATTAGTTGCTTAAGTTCTCTCACCAAACTCTCACAACCAGTAAAGGACCTGTGTCCTCTCTCATGCAGAAGCCCACGTCTCTCTGCTTTTCAGCGACTTGGTCCAACCCCCGTTGACCAGGTCTCACATTGAACTCAGCTTCGACATCGGGTCTTCGATATGCAATCCAACATTCTCATTGTCGCCAGTACAGCAGCTCGACGATCACGGTCCGCCAATTGTCGAGAGCGTTACCATTCGGTATTTGAGAAGGAATGGCATGGTTTGGGCGACGCAAGCGTAATATGGTGCATATGTCACGAGCTCGCCGTTTGTACCGGGCCTGTCAGCTCCACACAGCCAGCATTAGATGTACTCACGCCAATAGAGGCGGATGTGATGCAGCTGACAGTGCTTGCGTAGATTACTGAAGTTGGAAACTCGACAATTCAGACTCGCACATTGTCCCATGTCAAATTTCGGAGTCGCACACTTTCGAGCAATATATCCAGCTTTGTAAATCGGGTTCATGTTTCCAATCCTCCACTAAATCGCCGTGCAATCTTTCTCCGGCATTGAAAATGATTATCGCAAATGCACGACAAAGTCTATCCATCGCCTCTCTCATTTCGGTTGTGGTGCCGAGTAGCGATAAATAAACAATATATTGCAAAACGTTCAATGGCGTATTAGTCATTTCAAAATGCTCGATCTCAATAATAGCTAAGTATTTTAATAAAAATTACAAATAATATTTAAAAGAATGTATTTGACTTAGGATTTGTAAGCTTTGGAAAACTATACCTTATCATCAGACAATAATGATCATTGCAATATGACTTGGCTCAATAATCAATTATTTAGTGGATCAATACCGCATATATTGGTTTCATTTTTTTTCGATCTGGTTAACACCAGGTCCGCCCGTAGGACAAATAAAAGCTCAAAATCTTTGCTGCACTCTCTTATAAACACTGTCCCGAAAACCGAGATGATATGACTCTAGCTAAAAAGGTTGTCTTCGTTCAATCCGCTCAGATTCAAAAATGACGCTAATAACGTTTCATGCTCGGACAAAAAGCAAAGTTCTTAAGTTGAGCATGCATTATGGTAGTTTTGGTCACCGACAGTAGTGTATTACACTGCTTATACAAGTTTGGTCCTCCCGAGCGTATGATTAGACAAATTGAGTTGTGTTGGCCGCATCAAAACCCGTTTTTGTCCTATAGATTGCAGCTTGGGCAAAAAATCTAAAGGTTTATTTGAAAGTTTAGACCCAAAACGATAACGGCTCTGAAGTCTCTTGTACTACGCCTAAATCAGTACCACGTTTTTTTGTTTCGAAACATTTCTTTTTATTTCGAAAACAATTCTAGACCATCCGAACTTGCACCGTGTTGTTTGCGGGTGAACAATTATGACCGCTGCTTGTAAAGCGAAGTAATGCTGCTTCTTCAGAATACGCGATGTTTCGACAGATAGTAATCGGTGTACTCTCTCCACAATCTTAAACGAGACTTGAAACGCGGGTCTTTCTTTGCTGCTTCGTATTCTTTCATCGCAAGGCCCAGATCTTTATAGACATCGCCGGGCTCTTTATAAGCCCGGTACCACCTCCGGTAATACGCCTGCTTCCTTCCAAGATAATCAAGCCTTTTAAAGGGAACCGCAACCTGAAAAAAGATGGTGTTAGTCAGCGAAAAATGGTGATAATTACCTTAATGAGGGAATGATTTTTTTTTATCTTGATTGGACTTTTACTTACCCGGGTTTTAAGTTTATGCAGAAACCCTATTTCTTCTTCTTGTGAGACTTACCCATTTGTTCGCTCAGCAGTCCTCAGGAACCGATGGTAAATGGCTTCTTTCTGACCGCGATGTGGGGAGGAAGCAGCATCGCCGATCGCCTCGAAACTCGCAATCCTCTCTGAATAACTACTCGAAAGATAAAAGGTAGCAATCAGAAGAAGGACGACTAAGCTGCGCATTGTTGGTGTTTGTCGATAAAGCTGTAAATTGAGAACTGATCGCGGGGAGTGAAAAGTTGCTTCAGATGAACGAGGGTTTAGTTACCATCATAAATGGCTTACGTACAATCACTGATCAATAGATGGAAACGGTTTTCTAACTCGTTTGCTGGTGCCTGTAAAAAGTAACGTAATTGGGAAAATGTAAATGAAGCAACAATCTGAAGTACAGTAGGACGAACTCAGCTGCGCATGGTTGGTGCTTGTCGGCAAAGCTGTACAGTTCCTATAACTTGAGCACTGATCGTGGGGGGTATAATAGCTTTATTAGCAGACCAAAGGTTTAGTTACCGTCATAAATAGCTTACGCTCCATTACTAATCACGCACATGGAGCGGGGCTAATGGTAACCAAAATATCAAATGATATTTTTGATAGCCATAGTACTATTTTTTATATTAATCAAAATATTAATAGTAACTATTTTTTTCAAAAGCTAACATATTTTTTTAATATTAGCTCGGAGCTGAAAATTAATGATGATATTTTATGATATTTCCCGCTTAAGTACGTTTGTTGTCACCTTACAAATCACCAAAGGTCAGGTTCTAGAACAGCAGTAGACTTTTAGACTGACGAGTGTTTGCTGTAGTATTGTACTGTGACACAGACAAAGGCGATCGAGAAAAACGCTTGGTTGTTTAATGTCGATAGAGTAAAATCAAGGTATTTGTTATGTTCTCTAGCGATACCCTCGTCCATATTGTGCGTCTAGCAAACCAGCACCCTGTAACGCTAGATTAATGCGCTCAGCAGTGTCGCCAACCTTGCCGTCACTCTCACAATTGCCTTGGTACTCCATGCTGTTACTAATACTTTCGCTAGTCGAACATAAACGACATCTGGTTGGTGGATTTAAACAGATTATCTTTATATCGTATTAGCTAATATTATGTTGATATTTAATAATATAATATTGTCTTAGAAGAAAATATTAGGTGATATTTTTATATTAACTGGTCTACAGGTGATATTTTCACAATATTAACTTCACCGATTTTGGAGTTACCATTTTCCCCTGACATGGAGAAACTCTTTTAAATTGTTTGCTGGTGCACGTAAGTAAGTAGCTTGTGCGGGAAACGCTACAGGTATATTAAAATATAAATAATTTACCTGGGAATTACCTATCGGTTTCGAGTCCACCCCCGAAAATGAAGATTGTTGAAAAAATTAAATCAAACGGAGGAAGCGATAAATAATTTACCTGGGAATTACCTATCGGTTTTGAGTCCACCCCCGAAAATGAAGATTGTTGAAAAATTAAATCAAATAGATGAAGCGAATGTACTAACTGCTAGAAGCAGTAGAAGCTGCGAATGTGCAGGAGATGAGATAAGGTGAGGAGAAGCAGCAGTCAAAAGAACTTATGCATAGACGTTGTGAAAGGCTTAGTCTGAATAACTTCGCTGTATTCCATGCCATGTAAAGTTTTGAGCAAAATGCGCTTATACGAATCACGTGTACTGATAAATTTAAAACTGCTATTTGATTGGGTTGCTAATTGCGCTTGTCAAAAAATATTTTGAGAAATTCTGGTTACGCTGGTATGATAGTGATGCGACGGGAGTAGGAGAATGACTATTGTAACTGTTTTGTTGTAGAAATATTAATAAATTATCTGAGAGTGAGGTAACTGACTGAACTGCCAAATGTACAACAGAAGCTGGCCGTTAGAACAACGCTTTGTAAATAAGCGTTGTCACTTGATCCATAAAGATAGATACTGTAGTTTTAGACTGAACAAAATGAACTCATATGTGTTACTGCTGTAAACCATTGTTTTCTATGAGTTGTTTGGACAGCAAAATCCAATACTACTAAACTGGCGGACGTGTCGTCGATAGGGCGTAGGATACGATTTTAAAAGACAACAACAAAACACGAGAGGTATTAATTATACTTGAAGTAGTTGGTTAAGTGGACCCCATAAAGAAATGTTTATAAACTTGGAGCATATGTGACGTCCAATAATCCTGGAATCATCGTTAAATTATCAAATAGAAAACACTACCGTAGCAGCAAGGCGTCTTGCGACACAATATCCAAATGCTTCAATCATAACTGGCACAGATTCGAGTGCTAATTCTGAATCAGCACAAAATGAACGCTACATACATTAAAAATAGTATAATTTGAATATGTTTAACCTTCAATGAGCTTGATATGAGAAGTGAACAATCTTTAGTTACTTACAAGCTGAAATAGGCAGTACAAGCAGGTAAGTAGTACAAGCTGGACAGGCCATTACTATCGTTTGTGCTAGGTTTCATGGCTCAGAAACGGCCCGTGGTATCGAGCACGACGCTAAACTAAACATATTGTGTAGCGTTTGTAAAAATGTTATTTGAAGTGCAGGTGGTTTTGGGTGGAAGATGAAGATACAGTGATAGCCAACAATAATAAAGAGGTTGTACTGTAGTAAGAATCTTGATTCATGATCATTAGAATAATTCTTTTTTACTTCGAAGTATCAGGTAAGCATGATGTTGACCCATACTTCAAAGTATTACTTAATAAAATTAAAAATATCGAGGCGCTACTTGACCTGCCGAAGCGTAGCGGAGAAAACCCTAAACTACAGCCGCGTAGCGGCGGCGCTCGGATAATTACGCTGCATTTGCAGTTTAAAAGTTCTTTTGAGCTTCCGGTCTGGAGGGGCTCTGTTAGGTCGATTATTAAGCAACGTTCGATGCGAACACAGCGGAGCTTGTCGCTTCAGGTCGTTTTCTTGAGACTCCACCAATCTCTGATTTCCGCCGCTGTCGTACTTGTAATATACCATCGATCCGCCGCAATGTACATCTGCCGGCTACACGAATCTAAAGCGACAACGTACTTCCTCGTTTCATCCACAGTGACATCGTTCATCTGCTGTAGCAGTGCTAGCAATCTCTCACCCAAGGTCGACACTGTTTTGGAGTTGTGAGCGCACGCGATATACCCGAACGGCAGCAACTCCGCTGCTGTGTCCACATCAGCAAGCGCGAGTAGATATCGCTCGTGACTCCACGCTGACTTCCAGCTCAGCACATAGCCCATAACGTCAAACAACGCACGGCGTTTGTGTACAGAAGCATCAAGAGCAGATAACCCCCGACTGAAGGCATCGATCACGTCCAGAAGACAAGACACAGTCTCGGCAGGTCTCGTGTGTTGGGCAATCAGCGCCCCGACCTCGGCGATAAGTGGCTGCAAGTACAACTCCACGAGTTTGTCGTCGGTCCATTCGTCAAAATCATGGCGTAAAATCCACTGGAACGCCAGTGACGCCTCCCGTTTCGTGAGTTTCAGAGCGTTGAGCTTCGCTAGCGTGACGATGAAAAGTCCACTTCTCCACCAGCTCCAATCAGAAGAATTAGACTTCGTCGGCATTAGGAAGGAGTCAGCACAGCCACGTTCGCCGTAGTCCACTTTGGACAGAACACGTGAAGCAAATTGCCTTACAAGAGACGAAGCATGCGGCCCGAATGGAATCTCCACGACTATTTTCTGTAGAATAACATGGTTCACCATGGCCACAGAGCTCTCAGGAACACGGCGCGTCGAGTTGGCTTCCAAAATGTTACGCAGCATAGCTGTCCAGCTGTCAAAGAGCAGTATACTTGTGCTGCTAGAAGTATCACGTCGCCAAATATCCTTGAGAATATCAAAGATAGTTGTCAACAAGCCTCGCAGCACGTCCGTCGACACGCGAGTAGCTGCGTGTGCAATCCACGTCATCAACTCTGCTTGCAGAGCTGCGTCGGCGTGTCCGAACCATCGGCTAGAGAGCAAGTCACCAGCTACAAGCTCGTCACAACTCGCTTGAGTAGCTGCGAATCTAACACAAGCCACGCTTGTATCAACCGAGCAGAACCGGAACATCACGCGACGAGTTAACGAGGCGTAATCCAATAACGGAAGCACAGTTCCCGTCGATGTCAAGCAGCCTAATAACGACATCGCAGTCTTCGTGTCCGCTTCGCTATCACTCGGATTCGTCTGTCGTAGCCACTCTAAAGTCTTCACTAACAAACTGGTCGACGGCAGCGTGCGGATCTCAACGTCAAACGATTTCTTCTTGTGTGAAACGTAAAAGCCGTCCGCCGTACGCGCAATAGCCCCGAGAACGGCACTTGAACCCCCACGCACACGTTCATTCCCGACTCGAACCGACTTCACCAGCTTCGCAATGGTCTCGTTATCGAGCGTAAGCTCCACGTTGTGCTCCATATGCAACATCCCAGGGACGAATGACCCAGAAATACCAAAAGACAAGTGGAACAAGTTCGCGACAGCTGGTAAGGCCAATGAACGCACAGCACCACGACCGTCTTCTAGCGCTCTTTGGATCTGCTTGACGACCGACGTGGTCTGCTCTTGGATAGTGCTAGGGAAGCCTCCAAACGAATCCAAACGACACAACACGAACGCCGCTGCTATCATCACAAACCCACTATCGACGTTGTCGGCTGCACGCTGAATACAAGTTGCAACGAAAGTCTCGAGGCTTGACGAAGGTGCCACGTTGAAGTGAACACAGTGCAGTAACACAGGACCCAGGGCGACAGCTGAGACACCAGCGGAGTCGCTCGCTCTCCATACATCGCTTAGGACTCTGCGCACATTAGCAAGCCAGTCCAAGCGCTTAATACTCGAGAACCCACTAGCTAGTCGCGCTAGCCCCATCGACGCCGCCCATGACAACAGCATGTCACTAGATGATATTCGTTGTAAATCAGCTGCCACTTTGTCAATAGAAGCACTCACTCCGCTATTGTCCAGAGGGAATACCACGTCTCCATGACACGACGAAGACGAACGTTGCTGCTTCGTGTACAGAAACGACTCGAGAATGCGCTCTGCGATCGGTTTAACGCGTCGTTGTCTCCATTGAGCCTCTGCCAATGTCTCCAGCTCTTCTCCGTTCGAATAAAGAGCAGCCACGTGACTCAATCCTAGCAACGCACAGGCCTCTACCATACCGTCCGATGCGTTCGTGTAAATGTCCACAAACATCTTGTCGATCTTCTCTAGTTGAGTGCAGAACGTGCTGCAGTCTTCAGTAGCATCCACTTGTCGTCTACCAAGCGCAAGCTGAAGCGCGATCAAAGCTCCAATAGACGAGCTACGAGCGTCACCGTCGTCAGTCGAGAACACTCGACTCTTCTCCATCGACAAAGCTAATAAACGTGTCAATTCTTCAACAATTTCCTCGTATTTCAGACGAAGTTGCGGGTTTTGCCAATGTCTCGACTCCCACAGCTGTCCGGCCAGTGCTCCAGCAGCCACCGCGCCTCCAATCTTGTTATTGCCATGTAACAACGCGTCAAACAGACCTTCACCACCCTCCGAGAAGACACGGAAGCCAACGTCGGCATCGTCAACACCCACGGGAGTCTTCAGCTGCGCTAATTCGTCCAATGACGTCACGTACGTCGCCATAAACCCGCGCCATCCCTCCATCAAGACTTGTGTACGTAAGAACAGCTCGCAATCTGTCGCTGTGTCTGTCACTGTCCACGGTAGCTCCATAGCCTGAAGCGCAGACGCGACTGTTTCCATCAATTCGTCCACGTTTTGAGTCGCCAGACGCACCAGTTTGTCTTTCCGCTTAACGTTCCTTGTGTCGATCACCGCCTTGGGTTGATACGCCAGCAGAAAGCCACTCCAGTCTACTATTTCAGACATCGAGGACTGCACCTCTGCTCGTGAAGGAAGAAGCGCCTTCATCTCCTTCGTTGCTGCAGCTGAGACACTCGCTTGAGCCGCAGACGCCACGCGCTGTCCTCGTCCAACGCCAGCCGTGAGTTTGGCACTCTCATACTCGATAACTCTCGCTACCAACGTCTCGAGTTCAGTGCGAACAGCTGCTTCCTGTTCACCCTCAAGACGCTGCAGTAGATTTTCCACTTGCTCCTCGACTTCCTCCTCCGTCGCTTGCTCTTCGTCTTCACTCTCCTGTTCCATATCCGACATGCAAAGACCCAACAGATCCAGCGGGAACGTGCACATGGCCGCATACGCAGCCTTCCTCACAGTTAAATGCTCACTGTCAGCAAACTCCCACGTCTGGTGTAGCAGCTTCACTGCGTGTTTTTCATTCGCTCTACTCTCAGCACCACCAAGAGCGTAAAAGCAGCATAGACGCTCCTGGAAGAGAGGCTCGTCCGCACACGTCACCTTGTTCTTGCGCATCTTCTGTGAGATGATCTTGAACGCCACGTAAAAGTCCAAGCAGTCAGCTCCACACAACGCCGTGATGGCGTCCATGGCCATGGCAACTACAGACTGTAATTTGTCTTCGAGAAACGCTTGGATAGCTGCGATGAACTGCACACCCAGCTCGGGGTCTTCCTCACACAAGGCTTTGATTGTAGCCATCCTCACGACGTGACGCTCCGTATCGTCGTCCGGACAAGTTGACTCGAGCAGCATCGTCTCCAGTCGAGGGAACACGCGCGTCTCTTTCTGCCACACTTCGTACATGAGTTGGAGCGCCATCGGCCGCATCTTGGTCGTGTTATTCATGCTGTCAAGTAGACGCAGGATGACGCGCATCGTATCCGTTGTCGTAGCTGCGAGTCCCGCCAAGGAATACAAACACGACGTCATCCACAGACCATAGCGACGTGCTGACGCTGGCTTGAGATCTGTCGCTGGGTGCTGAGAAACGAGGAAAACCAGACTCGACACGAGCGCTTTGGTAGTCTCCGCGCCCCAGACCTTGGGCGAGCTCTTCACTTGACGCGTCAGACACTCCGCAGCACACTTACGGACACACGATCGCGTATCCGACAGCAGCGCGCTCAATACTAACGCCAGCCACTTGTCCGTCGACTTGTTAGCTGTTGTAGATGCAGCGTCGTCGGTCGAGAACAAGGTGTTCAGCCAGCGCTGACAGCCTTCTGCATCGCCAATCAGCTGCACAGCCGACCGAGCGTGAACTGCAGTCGCTGTCAAGGCTGCGTCTCTTTCACTCGCGTGGTTCACATGATATTTGCTCTTGGTCTTGATGGCGATCACCTTTTGAAGCAATTCAGACGCCGTGCTGCCGTGTACAGCAGCCAGAGACGACAGAGGCAGCAGCAGGATTTCCACATAGACGGTGCGTCTGTCAGCCAACGTAGCGCATCCAAACTCCAGCGTATCTTTCAGTACATGCAGCATCAACTGCTGCTCCAAGGGCGTCTCACACTTGTCCACTAGGAAATACGCAGCGGAAGCTAGAAACACCGAGCACCAGAGCGCCTTAGGCACCTGTCGAGCCAGTTGGCCGAGTGCCTGCAGCAGCGACACAACGCCCACGTCGCTTTCGAGCAAAAGCTGCACCGATTCTAGCACGAAACGCGCCGTTCGCGTCGCCAGAGCCGCCTGCTCCTTCGTCGGAGCGGTAAATGAGCTCAGTAACTCAACGACTAGTGACACGTGAGACGCGTACGTCGCCTGGGAGAGCTGCGAGTGAGGCACGAGCTCCAGTGCGTCCACTAGGATACGGACGAGAGCTGTGCGCACAGATGAGTTGTCCTCAAAGCGCCAGGCGATGGAGACGATGCTGTTTAATACCGCAGCTTTGTGTCCTTCTGTCTGCAAAGTGTCCATGAGGACAGTTTTGAAGACAGGAGATATTATTTCAAGTGTCCGCTGCACTGTTGCAATGTCCACTTGGCAGTTGCAAATGGGTCCATTAACAGACGTGAGAGCAGCCAAATAGCCGGACAATACGCCCATGTTGGCGTTCAGGACCTTGAACAACACGCGACGCAAAGTGGACACTTCCAGTGTATCTAGTAGATGGACACTCTCCTGGAAGAGTGTGAAGCCGAGGAACTCGGCCTTACTGGATGGCTCGGTGCAGATTGCTGCAGCTTGTTGCAGTTTGTCATAGAAACGTCCAGTCAGTCCAGCAGAGTGATGGTCTTTTGCGCAATTTTGCAGTGCTGTGGCAACAACTCGGCGAATTAATTGTCAGAAATGGAAACGAGCATTTAGAAACGACACGCTGTACGCACCAAATACGAGGTTCTGCGCCTCGGCCAACGACGAGGTGGAAATAAGGCGGTCAGCAGCCTGCTCCATCGCTCTAGAGGCAGAAGAGTCAGGCGACACTTGCCGCAACCCCTTTAGCAGCGCCGCCAGCGTCGGCGTGGTGGTGACCATGCTTGGGAAAAATGGATCCTGGTTGAGTGGCGAACACCACATTATGGTCAAGATACTCAAATTTAGAAATAGGACAATAAAGTGATCTCAAAAACACCAATTTGTAAATAGGTATCATTAAATTGTTAGTTCAGAAATGATACACTTCGACGTAACCACGTATTAACCCCCCCCAAAGCGAGCGGATTTCGTTGCGCCTATTTACCGAAACCCCATACACGTTATGGATAGTGGGTTACAATAGTAAGACCCAGCTATATTTTATCGTGTATCTAACAGAGTCGGTACAGCGCCCCACCCCTAGGGTCTTCATTTCTCGATATCGTGTATCAGGTATACTAACATGTCTGCACTGTACGCGATAACGCTGATATCGTGTCCTGAGTGAACAAAGACAACACAACATTTGTACAAAACCACATCTAGCGGGGAGTGACGGGTCATATTTTTGTCAATATTTAGAGAAGGATTCCACATGGCGATCTGCACAAAAAAACATATATTCAAATCAAGTTATTTTTGAAGCCGGAACATGTGCTCTGACGACGATCTCACTAGATGCCGTTATCGTTGGTGTGTGGCCGCCATCCCGAACGACCCTGAGAGGAAACACTTCCGATTTCAGCTCTAGACTGCGACTCCGAGTCGCTGGCATCAGAGCCACCGTCACTTGCAGCGCGTGCGGGCTTCCGGGCTCGAATTTTGCGCTTGCGTCCTGATTGAGGGATCATAGTCCCATTTTTCCAGTGTTTATGCCAGATATCCCAGCACGAAGTAGGTTCGCCTTTGCTGCAATGCTTCACCTTGTTGCAGAGGAATACGCGTGCGGCTGACTCGTGTCTTGATGTTGTTTTCAGCTTACATTCAGCACAGTAGAATGTCGGCTCCTCCCCGTGAGACGTGGCAGCGCCTTTTAGCACCGAACAAACCTTGCACGCACGCTGCCTACGCTTTCTCGTCTTATCGGAGTTTCCTTTGCGCCACTCGTCGGCCTGTACAGGCATGTGCGCCGCTCGAGCTTGTCGTGCCCGCGTTGGCGTCGCGTGATGCCCGCGGTGGCGAAGAAGCTGCACCCAATCTTCCGGTAGCAACTGACAGAGCTGTAGATGAAGCGTCTTCAGAAAAAGTCACGTGGGAAACCCTTGGCTTCCCGGTGCCGCGCGATGGTAATTGTGCACGATGAAAGCATTAATGATAGCCATGTCTATCAGTCCCAGAAAGAGAGATTTGTAGTACTTCTTGTAGCGCCGAGCCAATTGCAGTGAATACCTAATAATACGTACAATACATGTTAAAACGATGACTTCAACGTGTATATACAGGATATGAATACTTGCCGTTGTAGACGTAACTGGTCGTGAACGTCGACTCCGCCCATGAAAGTCTGATAGTCTTTAACGATCCGTGGACACATCAACTCTGTCTGATCTCCAGCTACTGGATTCCTACGCACGATACGGTCTGGTACTGCACTTCCTCCAGCAGCAAGCAGATACACCGCTTGATTATCCCACCAACGGACGGCCTTGATCGATGGCACCTTTTGGAGGGTGGCTACGTCATACGTTCCTTTGACGATCTGTGCTGGTCGCTTCTTTGATTCCTTCCTGCCGTTTTTAGTCTTCTTTGGTAGAATTGCTTTGCACAGCCCCTTTCTGTTCGTCATTATTGTGCCCAAACTGTAGAAGTTCATGGTCAGCAGCTGCGTAGCCAGCACGACAGAGGTGTAAAACTTGTCGGTGACTATGAGACGTCGCTCAGTTGGTCCGTTGACGCCAAAGACTTGACGTAAGTTCCGTACGACTGCGGCAGGTCCCGATTTTTCATCACTGGGTGTGCTACTGTCTTGCATTTGTTGCTTTCCACAATAGACTTCAAACCTGTAATATACACAATAGTTTAAAAGATTTTAGCACGCCGAAGACACGATAAGATAGCTTTGAAACCAAAAACAAAAAGAGCGTGCCCGAAGGCACGCTCTTTTCCTTACCTGATGCAGTATGCAGACTTGGAACAGCACAGCATAAAAAGCTTTGTGCCCCAGCGATGGGGCTTGTCCTTCATGAAGATTCTCATCTTGTTGAACGGAGACGTACACGGAAGCATCGCTTCGTCAAACGCCATTATTGGAGGTGGGATGAAACTTGCCTGAAATGTTTCTTGCAGCACGTCAATCACCGGGCGGAGTTTCCAAGCTCGATCGGTATGCGCTCTTGCGTCAGCATTGCTGCTAAAATGAAGATTCCGCGAGATATGATAGAAGCGATCTCTAGTCATAAATGCGTTAAAACAGCCACGAGGAATAGCACCTTCATCTGTAGTCTTCCAATGGTTATCAAACCTCTCTTTGTTGGGAGCTATCGTTCTTGCAATAAGTAATCCAAGAAAAATAGCAATTTCTCGTCCTGAAATGTCCTTCGTGTTCAGCAGCTTAGTCTTTATGATATCCGGAGGTGAGACATGGAAATCAGGCCTTTTCAGCTTCCTATTTAGCTGCTTGGCGTGTAGACTCTCCACTCGCGCGTCTAGGTTCTCCATAAAGTAGTCGTTACTAGCACCCGCAATTCTTTCTAGTAAGTACGGCGGGACGAACTGAAAAAATGCACCAATTGGGGTCTCGGCAGCGCTCAACGCTGCAGCAGTTGGTCCATGTTCACCGCGAAATAGATCCGGATAGTCAATATTTGCCCAATCATCGCGACGCATGTCGTAGGGTTCATCCATGTATGGGTAAGGCGTCTGATTGTGCACTGGAGACCACCCGTTCTCCTTCATGTCGGCTAAAACATCAGCCTTGAGGTTGCCACGTGCAATCTCGTGAACACCACCTACTGCTTCAAGTAGAGACGCATCAAATGGAAGCTCAGGTGGGACGACATCTTCATCTTCAATGCTGAGATCAGGCTCAGCGAGCTCCAGCTCCTCATCATCGTCGTACACAGAGAATCCTCCCCCCTCCTCGTCCGAATCAAGACTTGCAAAGACATACTTGTCATCGCCGGGCGTTACAATGTTAGGATCGTCTGTTAAAAATATACATGATAGTTGTTATTATCATGAATGTGTATCATGTATACATAGGAATTGTATATCGTGTACATACACGTTTGAACCTACCAGATAAAGACGAACAGAAAAACGCAGCGTTCGATGCCGCGTCCACGCGATCGCCGTCTGCGGACTGTTGCACATTTTTGGGGCTTTGCGGAGAGTCGTTAGAGTCATCTGACTCATCAGAAGACCCAAACAGTTCATACAGATTGCGCCTTGAAGTGGTTGGCACAGCTGGAAAAATACAATGTTGAAAAGAGTTAGCTACAACACCTTCGAATTGTATGGATGGCACAGTAAACGTACCGGGTGTGTCTGGACTTGACGAAAATAAAGCATCGATATCGTCGTCAGCTTCGTGCGGCGAAGTAGTAATTAGAGGTGCACTGGAGTGAGATTGCATTGGAGAGCTGGGGTGCGTCTGTTGTCGTACTGGGGTGGTTGAGAGTGGCTCTTCACGCACTGTACTAACTGCATAATACACGATAGTGTTAGACAGGTACGGTGTAATGTACAGGCGTTGTAAAATATACCTGTTGGAGGTGTAGTAGCGTCATCAGGTGGAGTGGCGCCATCGTCTTGCCTCGAGGATGCGTGTGTGGCGTCGTCGGTCTGTCGTTTATCTTCCTTTTGCCTCGCAAGCTCATCTATACACGCGTCAACGGTTAGGCTCAGGTTTTCAATACATCATTAGAACAAACAACTTACCGAGGTCTAGTCGATCCAAATACGACATCAGCTCCTTCTCCCCTACAAAGAAGTCTATTCCGCGCACGTCTGTCTTGCTTTTACCGGGCTTCAGATAGGTGTGGTCATTTGAGAGGCCTGTAGGAGGCTTGGAAGACCAGCCTTCCTGCCGTAGTTCCTTCCACCGGGCCCGAAACCCCGACATCTGACTGGGAGCGGGAGTTTTCTGAAATGAGCGCCAAAATGAGTGGCGTTGAAAATCCCTGCAGTTTCTTATATTGATTTGGCGTGAACCACATATCGCTGAGTTGCCTCTAAACTTTTATTTTATGAAAAATTGTGCAATGCACCGCCTGCGCACACCGCACCAGGAAGGATGGGGATCAGGCTTCACATACCTATCCCTCTTTGGCTTAGCGTTTTTTTGACCGTATACAAAAACAAGGTGAAAAACAAGCAGATCATTCATGCACCATTTATCGTGTATTATACAGGATAAGCCCTCCCTACGAAACGTGTATAATACAGGCCGTCGCTTTGGGGGGGTTAATACATGTAACAGGAAAAGCTTGAAATTCTCTAAACGTTTACGTATTCGATCTGCGTTTTTCAGATTTTAGCTTAGAGAAAATCTACACATTCTGCTTTAGACTGCATACATACTACAGTCGAACTACAGACTGTAGTACCGTATGCAGCACCAGCAGATTAGTGAAACCGAGGTTAACATCATTTTGTAATACATGTTTCTAACTACCGAGGTAGTGAGGTCCCAGCAGAAAAAGTGATTAAACTATGCTCACAGCTCTTTTCGTTAGTTTTCTTAGTTTTGAGAATCAAACATGATTGGGGCCCAAATTACTTGAGATCGACGCCTTAAACAAAACCCCAAACTCACAAACCAAAGCAAATAACAAAATGATGATCCAGTCAAGTACTTCGCTTGTTTCCATCTCCGTATTTAGCCCACTCGTGTTGTCATTTCCTTCTCCAGCTCAGCCAACAAGGATGGATCTACTGACTACTCGACGCCGAGGAACTACCGAGGTGAGAGAGGCAATGGATAGACTCTGTCGCGTATTTGAGACGGCTGATTGTAACGCACTTGGAGCCAAAATTAACAGTGACGATGACACGGGGGGGGGCACCGCGGTTTTAGTGGAGGGGTGAATTCCTTTAAGAACATGAAACCGATTTACAAAGCTGGATAAATTGCCCGAAAGTGTTCGACTCCAATATTTGACGTGGGATAATGGGCGTCGAGTTTCCTACTTCAGTAATCTACGCAAGCACTGTTAGCTGCATCACACCCGCCTTTAATGGTGTGAGTGCATGCAGTGCTGGTTGTGCGGATCTGACGGGCCCCAGTACAAACGGTGAGCTCGTGACATATGCGCCAGATTACTCAAGCCGTGCCATTCACCAAATGGTATTGCTCTCGACGATTGGTGGACCGTGATCGTCGAAAGGCTGTACTGGCGACACTGAGAATCTATCGTGCAAAGCTGTACATGTATCGCCATCCAGTACATCTTTATTTTGAAGCTATCAAGGGGGCTCATCAGTTGGTCTTACGAATTCTACGACGTGAGAAGCAATCTCCCCATTTTCCCCAACGTAGCCGTTCGCCATTATTTTGGCTTCAGAACTGTTCAGCAGCGCATGCCGTGCTGCTTAATTCCAGACATGTCTTCACGCTACTCGACAACGAGCCTTTGATCCAAGGTTGCGAAGATCAAGTCACGGTTGACGTCCTCGCGTTAGCGAATCTATTGCGTGAGCAGAAGTTTCCCCTTGTGACGCCTACTCGAGAAAAAAAATCAGCATCAGCTATTCAAAAACTAGACAAAGAAATACACAATTTCTTGCGAGCAAATATACTGCGGTGCACAGTGCTAACTGCGTCAGTAAAACTCTTAGAGCCCATAGGCTTTGTATTTTTGTATGAATGAATGTTAGCAAAGTAGCTGCACAGTGAAAATATCAAGCTCAGAAACACACAAGAAAAAAGCTGTTTTTCGCTTAAACGGTCTCATGACCATTACCTGAGCGCTGGAGGTCACTCAACAAGATAGTTATCCAAAGGAAGGCTGCTATTATTACTTGCCGCTAGAGCCTCTTGACAACATTGAGGTCGTCGCATATGCACCTATCACAGCGTGATTATTATAGAGCAAAAGACATACTCTCACTACTTGAAGTTTTTGGTGTTCGCGTGATTCACGCCGTGAAGCTGTCGAGATACATGGAGTTTAACTACCGTGTACGTTGTACATTCTGCGAGCGCGTGAGTAAGAAGTAAAGAGGCGGCGGGGGTAACGAGAACGATACGATATCGTTTTCTCGGTAAATCTTACGGCTAAGGAATCGATTGACAGTATGGCGCGATGCAGCTCATTCAAGACCAAATACTGGGCTAAAGTGAACCCCACAAATACTACATGAGCGATTTGGTAACCGCTGTATTTGCTCAATGCGGTATACGTGCAATGCATGGACGAGCGTTGTTACACAAAATTAAGATCGATTTCTAGTCACTTCTTCAGCTGTGGTGACCTACCGCCAAACAAGAACGGAGAACCGCACTGCTAACAGTGTTGCTTTTGCTGTGATTTTGGTTGTGACGAAGGGTGGGTGTTGAAGGAAAGAACATTGAATTATATGTGATAGCTAAATCATTGATCAGAACAATTGGCACGGCTCTTGAAATTGCAATGCAGGTAGCGAAAGGCTCCAATTGCAATTGTTCAATGCCCTCAAGTCCTTGTTTCAGCTTGTGCTATAACTTGTGATAGCACAACCGAAACCTATCATACTCCCTCCAGGGAATAATAGGAGCATCCCTTGGTGCACCAGCGGCAGGAACCCTTCTCGCACTAGCCTTTTCGACTGATTTACGCTTGACACGCAGACTCATTTCTCCCACGAACGGAAATTCTTCTGCTGTGAAGGTACTCGACCCTGTAGTCACCAGGATGTCGCCTCTGACAGAAAGTTGACCATTTCGCTGAAGCTCGATACAAGAACGTATATGGTAGGAAGGAGAACCTTCTTCTAGCGACCAGTTGAACATCTCGAGGAAAAGAATTAGTTGACCTGGTGCCTCGACGCGCATTTCACCAAAGTAATCTCCGTGAGAACCCATTCCGGCACCTGTCGACATCCCATTCGGAAGCATACGAAACATACGTTCCTTGCCCTCTAGTACCAGTTTCATACAGTCAAGACAACCAGCCACTCTTTGCGGTGTTCGTACACGAAGAGACCTCCCTTGGACGTTAAGCGCTACCTCAACTTGGACAATCTGCATCATCATCTCGACCGTCGAAGAAAGTGACACGTCGGGCACACTGGGGTCGGCATCCATCTTGCGACCGGGAGAGGAGCTAGCTTCGTTGATATCCCACTGCACGTCATCCGTGTCCAAGAGCCATTCTCCATTCCAGTTGCACTCGACAGCATTGTGAGGAGGAAACACCGTCTTGAAAGTGGCCTTTCGATCGAGAGACTGTGGGGAGCTTGTAGTACCAATGTAAATATCTCGCATCTGAGCAACGAACATGCTCCACCCAGCGAAGCTTTGGCCGCTTACTATCTGCCGTACTAGAGGCCGACGACTGTGGAAACATTCATGCGAATACACTGCTGCAATCACCTGCTCTGCCACGTTGGCCAAGCTGTGCAGGGTGGAAGCTGCGAACACTTTTGCGTTCAAATGCTCCTCTAGTTCAAGTAGAAACTGAATAAAACACGACCGGATCGCCTTCTTGTCCAATGTTAGAGCGGCATTAAAGCGGAAAAACTCTCGAAACCAGCCAAGTGCTTCATGAGAGAACAACCACAGCACCGTCTGGGAAGCTACTCGAACGAGAGTCTCCAACTCCAAGGGGAGAGGACCACTCCCAGCAGCTCGTACACTCTCCTCTACGTGGGCATGCTGGAGTAGTAGCCGTGAGAAGCAGTCCAGATTGTTGGCTTTCTTTGGGGTCGTCCTGGACGTGTCAAGCAGTTTGAGCTTGATCGAGTTCACTACTTCGTCCACTAGCGGCGCATAAAGTCTGACAGGTGCCCAGCGGACGAACGCGAAAAGCAGAGCCATATTCTGGGATACCGCTACGGCGGGTGCATTAATGTGCTCCCAGATCAATTTATCTTGCAGAGGGTGGATCATTCCCTGGTCGCTTGACCTTGTCGGAGGGATCCGACGTTGACGCTTGGCTTCATTTAGAGGATTCTCTTCAAGCAAACTACCTAGGCGAGAGGAAGACCTCCCA